GGTCAACTGCTTTAACACTAAGTGTGAATCAAGTGATCAACTAATGCATGCCTAGGCCGGCATAGGTGTGCCTAGGAGGCGCTTAATTATTTTTTTAAAAACCCTTTTATTTAACTTTAATTTATTAACTTTTTTATTTTATTATTTTTTCTTTTTCTAAATGGCTTTTATTTGACTTTAGTTTCAAATTTTTAAATAAAGTTATTTGCACAAAAGTAATCCAATAAAGATTTAAATAAAATTTAAGTTACGGTACTATCTATATTATATAATTATATTTTGAAACTTATCGTTTTGTTGAAAACTTTAAAAGTATGTATAAGTTCTCATAAATCTGTTAAGTAGGACTTATCTAGTTGAAGTTAAAAAATAATCTAGTTTTTGCATTTCGAAAACTTAAAAATTGTATAAGTAACTAATTGTAGAAGTTATTAAATATAATATTTTATTGTTTCAAATCTTTGGTATGTATTATTTTAATTAAATTCATTTTAGAATGATTAAGTACTTAAAATAATAATAAAAATAAGTAACTTTTTTTACGCCAAGGCCTCGCCTAAGCTCGTAAAGCTTGAAGCTTGTCATATCTTACGCCTTTTAGAACACTGCTTTTAACAAGTGATACGCATATGCAGTAATGTGAACATATTCCGCTTCTGACTCCCACCTAAAAAATAAAAATAAGAATCCAAAGAAAACCTAGTTGGGCACAGCAATAATTGTGATTGTGTAGGGTTGAAATCATATTACTCCTAAAGAAGTAGGAAGATTGATGATGGCATGTGCGCAATACAAATCTAGTTTTTACTTAAACAAGGGACAACAACTTACATCATCCAGCAGCATACTGTTGCAGTAATAATCAATGTCAGGTGTAACCTGCAACATGAAATACAGTTAGCAATATGCAAGGCAGGAGTCACCACCGTTGCCAAAGCTATGTGAATGATCAAGAGTATAGCAAACATCTATTCAATATTTTACCTAGCATAACACGTTGAATGAGTCCCACCAATAAAGTTAATGGCACCAAACTCTTAACAGGTATGATTACAACACTGTGATTGGCATTATTAATTGGATTCAAATATTCAAGACATGACATTAAATTATAAAACTATATTAAGAGCCTATCTGCATGACTTTTAATGTGTTTGGTAATTTTTTTAAGGAAAGTGCTCACAAGTGAAGAAAGAAGATACTTTAAGAGCATGTTTGACTGAGGGGCATGCTTTCAGGCACAAGCCTCAGGTCAATTAGGTGTGCACTTCTCAAACTCTCCCTTTCTTCACTGATTTATAGTTTTACCAACTTCAGTCTTTTAGTCTGTTTTATTTCATACCTCGAGCATTTTAAGGGACTTTTGGAATGTTTTAAACATACCTCAACACAAAAACTAAATGATAGGAAGAATTTGAGTAGAAAAGGGAAGTGAAAAGTCCATGCATGCTAAGTCCTCCGCTCTTAAAACTGCCATACATCATCCCATCGGTTATGTTGCAGCTTTTTGGTGACAGAATGAGGTGTGCCTGATAAGTTCTCCCTATTCTGTTTTCTTTTATAATTCTTTTGCTACCTCCTGTCTTTTGGTTTTCTTTCCTCTCATTTATCTTTAAAAATGAGTAAGCACAAAATTCTTTAGAACAACTGATTAGCTGTTTCATTTGTTAAAAGACTTAGTTGCTGAGCAATCCTACTTTTTGTTAATTGTCAGTTGGGTTATATTTTTATTCTTCTATTCTAGGTATTGCTTGCACTAGTTTGAGTGTTTCCTCTCGAATAACTTTTTCTCCTTTTACTTGCTCTTTGCTTGGTTAATTATCATTCACTCGAAGACTGAAATTATGTGTTAGATTTATATTCTTGAATAGTAGAATTTGGATTAATAAGCTAAATGTTAAACTTGTTAACATTGTTTTTTTCTTTTTCGTTACTTTCATAGCTTTATCATTTTCTTGATTTATTTATTAGCTTATGTTGAAGTTTATGCTTCAAAATGTTTTGATTTATACTTGGAAGCATCTCTAGGCTTGAAATCCCATAATGGATGTAAATACCTTGACACACAGTTATCATTTATAATTTTTAAAACATAGATCCTTAACACACTACAGTCTAATTGGAGGCATCAATCCAACTGTAGCCAGGAAAAGATTCATATTTCATTCATCAAAACACTAGCATCTCGCAAGTTGCAAGTCCAACAAAGTATTCACCCTCAAACTATTGCTGATTAGTTCTAAGAAGTATCTAACAAGCAAAATAACATTTGTTTCATAAATAAAATTCCAGCTATCAGACATGATTAAGATGGAAAACTTTATCTACGATAATAAATCAGCTCAAGGTGCGGCTCCTTCATCCAAAAACCCATATAATAACAAAAACCATCTCTCCTTGATATCGTAAGTACTACAATAGTAAGAATCGGATTGTTTGATGATACACAGCCAGGGCAGACAAACATTAGCGTTAGCTTGATAATACATTCAAATACTGAAGTCAAGAAACAATTTGCGATTCAAGGAATGCGATGAAGAACTGGGTAAAAATCATCTAATCAAACTCAAACTCAAAACAAAAAAGAAAAAAAATGATGTTGAGAAAAAAAATAAACGCACAGATTTGCAGAGGGTCCTCTGTTGCAGCAGATTCTAGTGCATAGAGACGCGATGATCCCAACCACAAGGAAAATAAGGGTTGTCACCAGAAACCCCATGTCCAATTCGATCTCTATTATTTCTGCGACAATTATTTCCATGTCATAACATTTTCCAGATCTATAATTTCTCAAAAAGCCAAACATATTATAAATCGATCTCAAATTGAAAATAATATCGAATTTAAAAAAATAAGATAAGTATAATTAGGTATTTGGAGAACAAAAATTACCCAAATTGACTCGCAGGATAAGGGTTCTGTGAACAAATCTGAGACTTTTCTAAACACAGTTTTCTAGAGAAAATTATTATGGAACGGAAGGAAAAAAATGGGAAGAGATCAGAAGATGTAGATTTGAGGAAAAATAAATAAAAGTGAATTTATGTAGGGTTTAATAATGGGTGTTCATTGATTGTTTTTTTGATAGCAGAATGGGAGATTATTTATTTATTTATTTATTTATCTTTTGGTACCAGATTTGTGGATTTGAGGGGGGAAGGAGATAACAAATATTAATTTGGTGGATTTTAGATGTAGGGAAGTATGTTTTCTTCCGTTGAAAAGTATTTTTCTGATTTAAAAATTTATAAAAAGATAAGTTTAGGTCCACTTGCTAAAATTTATTTTATAATTATAAGTTACGAATCATATAAATTATATAAATAAAAACGATAGTTTATACAATAAAAAGTGATGAGGTAAAATTTTTCTGATTCGAATGAAGAGCTCTCTTTATCCGCCTTCGAACTTTAAAAACAAGCTTCTCCAATGAGCTTTGACAAAAATAGTTTTACTCTCAATATTGTGAATTTGACATTTTTACCTTGTCTCGCTTGACAAATAGGATGACATAAAATGTGTATATATTTTCTTCCTTTTACTTATTTTTATTTTATTTTGTCTGTCTAATTTTACGAGAACTTATATATCAACCTCTGATAAATCCGTAGCTCATATTCTCTTCTTTTTAAATTGTTCATATTGTCGCTATTGCTGTTGTTGTGAATTGCGATCAAGTGTTTTGGGTAGAAATTTAGAAAATAAGTCCATGTTTGACAATCTTTAAAAATTTAAATTGTTTGCTACAATATCATCTTTCACAATACATTCACATAATAAAATATTCTACACACAAATAAATAAAATTTTTCACTTTTTAACCACAAAATTCTTCAAAAATACTGTACTAAACTCTTTAATTTTTCAAATAAAGGGAGTCAAACATGGCCTAAGAAATGAGGAGTGTCATTTTAAATGGAGATATTTTGAATTATGAAAAGCTGACTCAAAAATAAGATTTATTGTATGAAAATTTTTTAATAGAATGTTAAATATTCATTCTTTATCAATACTTTGATCATGCTTGGGAAACATCTTTTATACTCTCCGTCCCATTTATATAAGTTGATATTATTTTTCACATGGATTAAGAAATTTTATTTAATGTTATTGAAAAAGTAATTTTTATTAAAAAATTTCCTAATCTACCCTTAATTATATTTTTACAATTTCAAGATTAAATGGAAAAAAAAAGTGATCATAATTAGGCATAATAAATAAAGATATATTAGTAAATAAATAAAATAAAATGTTGTCAATAAAGAAACGAGAATATATAATTGGAATTAAAAAAAAAAGGAAAATCAGCCCATATAAATGGGACGGGATTATATTCTTACTTAACAAATCCAATGTTAAATAAAAATAAGCAAAAAAGTAAAAGAAAAGGAAATGGGTCATCAAATATCGAGACATTCTTAGCCAATTCAAAAAAGGGTAATAATGATGCAATTTTGAGAATTACGAAGGTTGGATTTCGAATGAATAGCATTAATATAAAAACTAACACACATTAAGACCAGTTGAGCACTATAAAATAGTTCAAGAGGTCAGCATTAACTAAATTTGTTCTAATACGTTGAGTCGGGCTTAGTTAATTTATGCACAATAATTTATAATTTAAGGGTCCGTTTGACATAATTTTTGCTTTTATTTATTTTTTTTTTTTGTAGAAGAGCTTTTGAGGAGAGAGAAAAAAAAACCCAATTTTTTGTCTGAAAACTAATTTTCTAAAGAATTTCCAATTTCAAAAGTGCTTTTAGAGATAATCAAAATTGGACTAGCTTCCTCTAAATGCTTTTTTAACTAGAAGAAACACTTTTATAAAATTAGTCAAATAAGTCCAAAAATAATTTTTGAATCTTAAAATCTCCTTTTGAATTTTCAAAACTCATTCCAAATGGACCCTAACAGGATGTGATAGAGATTCTCCAAATTTAGGGAGTCGCAAAACTTAAAAGCTTTATAAAATTTTACCTAGGGTTGCGTATGGGATGGGTTGAATTGGCTTTTTATCAAATTCAAACACAAACACAAACCTAATCCAACATGGTCGATTTGATCTAAAATCAAACAAATTCAACACAATTATTAGTTTAAACCCAACAAAACCCAAACCGATTAAGGTTGAATTGGGTTGGTCGATATGGGTTTGGGCCAATTTCAAGTTGGATTTGATTGTTTTTTATTGAATTTGAACAATTTTTTAAGTTTGAAATCACTTGAAAATCTCCATTATTTTTAATCTATATAAGAAATTAAAATTAATTTATAAATATGTTTGAAATCGTGGAGCATTTTTTTTTTAATTTATTCATTTCATTATCACGTCCTTAATTTTTAGTTTATCGTTAAATTATTTTGCATTTATATATAGTATTCATACCAATTAGTCTATATAAAAAAGAGAGACGTTTATACATTCTAAATTATTCTATTATCTCCACTATTGTGTCTATTTAATTTTTTTTTTTTTTCATTCTAGGTACTAAATTTTTTAATTCAACGGATTGGGTTGGATTGGATTTTAATCCATAACCCGAAACTCAACCCAACCTCAAATTTAATTTTTCAATCTAACTCAATCTAATCCAACCCAATTAAACTTCAAAAAATCCAAGGTTTGGGTTGATTTTTGCCAAGCCTTAATTTTACTTAGATGTTTGATGGGTATTAAAATTAGATTTTTTGGTAGAGAAATTTTTAAATTTCTGGTTAAAAAGTTGTGAGAGTCATGAAAGTTATGATTAATATTGATTGTTTGACTTAAACTTAAATTAAAATCAGATTTTAATCATAATCAAACATGGGCCTAATCATGGAGAGCACATGGTGCAACTCATTTGATTTGGAGAATGTTTGCTTTATAAACATGTATGTAATGTTCTAATGTTGGGTTACAAAGTTTGGTATTCGAACTATAGATGTATAACTCCATGATGATTGTTTGGGACTATAGATTATTAAATACTGGCGCCCCCGAGGCATAGCTCAGTGGTGCAAAGGACAGGAGTGAAGTTATCTCACGCCTTACTGACAGCCGCAGTGTAAAGGTTCGATTCTTGAAACATGAAATAGAACTCCTTGTAGGCGCAGTGTACAGGCAACTCTTGTTCCCTGACCTATTGAGGCACATCTCGCGATTTACCTCCCTCATAAAGCTCTAGAGACGGGACGATAGGACCCTTAAGATTGGAGTTCAACTTTTTCTTTTTTTATTATTATTAAATACTGGATGGTTACGGGAAAAAAAACACTCGTAACCACATTTGCAGCACCTGACATCATCATTCGAACATGTGAAGATTCCAATAATTTCCACCCAGATGGAGACATGCTAATAAATCAAGATTCCATGTGGGCCTAAGCGCCTGAACCAGCACATCTTTGTAGGATTTTACTGTAGGATTTAGAAACAAGAGGACACAGACACTTTATTTTTTCACTGTTCTTGTCCAAATTGTCCTAACATGTTTAGTCAGTTTGGACGTGACTTCTTTTTCTTTTCCTTCTTTAATATTGACTATCGTAAAAAATAATAAAATAAAATAAAATAAACTTAGTCACCATCATACCCGAATCCAATAAGCCTCTTAATCATCTGGTGCAGTATTTAAATCATTTGAGAGAAGTTTGCTGCAGAATTCTTAGTTCTCGACTAGCATAGTATCCAAATTTGAACTAGATTTGATTCAAGACAGTATTATTCGAACACATCTAGAAACCCAACGCCAAAAATTTAAAGGTGCATTGATCAACGATGTTTGATCCTTCCAGCATAGTCGGTCCTGGGCCAAAGCATTTGAAGCCTACGCCTCATGTCCAAAACCAAAGGGGGCCTAATTTTGCCCCCCCCCACCCCCCCACCCCCCCTACCCTACCCTTTTAATTTTGTATTGTTTCCGTAAATTTGTAATGCTCAAATTTTTGCGTAAATAATCGAAAATGTTATTGGATGTGCAAAATGGAAAATGGGAATTTGTTCAACTTATCTTGATCCAAGAATGTGAGTCCTACTTAAACCTGCATCACCTCTGGTATCTATTTACTATTTAGTGTCCTTGACTGGCATAAGGCAATAGGACATTGTGTAATGATGAAATTTTTATTTCAGGCTTATGAATTGTGATGGTTGAATTCTCAAGGTGCGATTCCATAATTATCATCGAAAATTTACTTCTCAATTCGACAACGACTTGCTCTAACTTGTTATTGAATATGTTGATAATGTTTGAAACCTTGTCGGCTTATATAATTGGTTATTTTATGATCAACAATTGTATGAGCGTACGTAGTAACTATATTGAAAACTCTAATTGTGAGATGATTGAGATATTTTGTAATTATCTTTTAGGTTAATTATTGAGCATTAGATTGCATAATATACCATTGAAATAATATATTTTTTTGTTGTTTTAATGATAAGTTTTAAGTTTTGCATTTATGTTGATTCCGTCGGGGGCCCAATTTATGGACTTCACCTCGGGGCCCGACGATCACAGGACCGGCCTTGCCTTCCAGTCGAGCGCTTTGACTAAGGAAATGGACTACAAAATAAATGACATGATAGTCGATATTTGCCGAGAAATCAAGCAGTTTAACAAATGACAATCTCAACAGACAGAAATACTTGAAACAAACCCCAGATTAGCATCAATCTCTTAATGTTCAGACGAGCATTAAGTACTCCCCAAATTAATGCAGCTAGTACAACTACACCACAAACAAACATCATAGAAAGGGGAAAAACAAAGGAAGACGCCTACTAAATAACATAAACCTTAAAAAAAACCGACAGTTAAAGACAATCTAAGAAACCTACACCAGTTGCACATCTAAAGCAACTAACCTTCCAAGCCATTTGGTGCAGTCTGAGGCTTCACCTTCCTCGGCCTTCCCCTTGGCCTTCCCGTCTTTGAAACAGCCTGAGGACCGGCAGCTGGCTTTGGCTTCTTCGGTTCAGGTAACGAATTTGGGTCCTTCCTTGGACGTCCTCGGCCACGCTTCGGTGGGGCTTCGGCTCCCGGTCTCAGGTAGTTGTTCTTGATGAATAATAGCTCCCCACTGTCCTTCATTGTAGTCAAATGAGCTGATAACAAGTTTACATGCGCAGCAGGCAAGTCCTTATACTTGGATTCTAAGTATTCCGATATTGATGTCTTGTTTGCTCCCTCCTTTTGTTTCAATGAATCCAAAGCTTCCATAATCATCTGCAAAAATGCGAAAACAGTGATGTATAATTTTTAATCTCTGAGAAAAAATTTTCCTTCGGAAATGTCTGAACAATGCTGTCATACATTGGCGAAAATTGCTAGTGCTCGAAAAATCAAAGCTGAAAATTTAACAACTAGTGCAAGTTTTGTGAAGCTTAAGAAATTTACTTATGAGTAACTCAAGGCCCATTTGAAAGGACTTTTGAAAAGCCAAAAACTACTTTAGACTACAAAGATGCTTTTGACTAAAGCTTAAGAAGCTCTTCTTCAAGTAGCTGAACTCCCACCAAACTGACCCGAAATAATTTTTGTGTTGGTCAAACTTGGAAATAAGTAATAGCATTACCATACCTTCAACACAATCACTTATTTTACTGGTAATAAAAGAGTACCTTGTTAAACATTTTTGTAAACAAAGATTAACTTTTAGGCTTATAGCTAAACACTGCTGTCATATAAAGGTGAAAATTTTAGCGTTTGAAAAATAAAAGCTGAAATCTTAACAGCGAGAAGATCTATAATTTTTACAAAATAATAATTGGTAAAAGAGAATTAATTTCTATGATTTGTTCCAAAAACAAGTTTGAACACCCATAAAAAAAATGCCGAAATTCAAATTAATCACTTGAAACAAAGTGGGTATACATAAAACATACAAGTAAAACAGCTAATTTTTCATTAACCTCAAAACTGAAAAACGAGGGTTTTAGAGAGAGTGAAAAAAGGCTTCTCTGCAAACTCAAAACCTCAATTTCGTCCATAAAAAAGGGGAAGAAACAGCTCAAAATTTTAATAAAATTAAAACAATAGTCTGGGTACAGGTTCTAAAATTACATGCAAAATGGAAATTAAGTCCTAGGATGCAATAAAACCTTTCAATTTTACCATTTTACCTGTCGGTATGGAGGGATTGCTGGACGTTTGCTGACCTCTTCAGTCGCCATTGAAACTTTTCTCTGAGAGTACTGGTGGCCGTGGACGGTCTTGCTTGAGGTTCAAAGAGCACAGTGGAAAACTTATTGATAAATTATTACGAGGGTTTCGAGTTGTGAAGTTAAAACATAAGTAAATAAAAACGAATTGCATTGCAAGTCCCCCAACATATGAATATTTTGTAGTAAGTGGATTTTTGAACTTTTCTTTACAAATTGATCTCAACCTTTTACTTTACAATATTTGAAAATTCGGTAAATGAGTTTTCATCTATCTTGCCTTCGGAAAGTTTAGAATTATTTGTATTATTATCAATTAAAAGAAATAATTTTCCTCCTCAACTTGATCACAAACTTCAACACGCGTGAATCAAGAATGAATAGTAGGAATGTAGGGTGATTATTTTGGGATAAATGAATAACATGGTCGGATGTTTGAAAAATTAACGGAAGGCAAATGAGTCGATGGATGATTTAGACAAAGGAAATGAAGGTGGTGGAATACAAAAAAAGTTAATAACGTAACGGGCAGGTAAAAAAATAATCATCTTGAAGATGGACAAGTAATGTGTTGGGACTTCGAGTTTGGGGAGGGAGGGCTTTGGAAAGCGAGTTAGGACTTGGGCTCAGGTAGGGAGGATAGTTGATGAAAGTTGTCTTCTTTTTTTCTTTTTTTTTTCCCTAATAGTCATCGTTCTTATCTTTTTATTTTGTATTTATTTTTCTTCGAAATTAATTTGCTTATCTATTTTACGCGCCCATTTGGTCCTCATTTTTTGGATATGAAAATGGATGGAATAGTATATTTTTCAAAAATGAGTGGTTGAAAAAAAAAGAAAATTTTTCTATTTACATGTAATATTATTTTACGAAAAATTATTTGGTTAAAAATAGAAACGAGAAAAATGAAATGAAATTTAATGAGATTCAAACGAGGCTGTCTCAAAAAGTGTAAAACGCGTGAGGGTCACGTGACTCTTAAAAAGAAATATTGATGAAACCATCACAGGTCTAGATGTTACAACTTTATTAGGTTAGGATCAATCTGTTAAAATTATTGGAGCCCAACTTGCTATAACACATATAGATTCGGGACTTCTGCTACAATTTTACCATTAAACAAAGGTATCTTTTTAGAAGGCAATGGACGGTAAAGATTGGGGAAAGGTTCGTGATCGTACGGAGAGAAGTCGGTCAAAACAGGGTCACAAGAATCGATGATGCGGACAGGGACTCAACGGGAATTGAATGCTTTGCGCACATTTTTCGATTAATTTTCTAGGATGTATTTGGCAGTTAAAACAAATTGGAGACATCCCCAAAATTAGTTTCAATCAATGCTATAATTAATTATGTTTATTATAATTCCATAAATAGTTGTACATAAGAGCCCCATTTTTTTTTTTTATGAAAATGTATTTTTTAACAGTGTTTTAATCGTATTTCAATCACACATTTTTCAATAAAATAATATTATACAAAAATTCAAATTTTTTTCTTATTTTCTAACTACACATTCTCCATCATAACACTATTGAAAAATGCATTTTTTGAAAAATACAAAAATGTGACTTAAACAACTCCTAAATGGGTTATAGGTCAAAAATATCTTATTATTCATTATCATGAGCTTATTTAAGAGAGATTAAATTACAAATTCTATAAGTCACGATTTATTTCACGGTCATAAATTATCAAATTAATTGATTACAGTTATGATCACAAATTATTAAATTAATGGATTACAACTTAACAAAATGTGAGTCGGGATTACAAATTTAATCGAAATTTCACATTTTTTAGGTCATTATTTATTGGTTACAAATTATATATTTTATCAATCACATGTTATTTATTGGTCACAAACTGACTAATTTATTAACTACAATCAATCAAATAATTGGTCACACAACCTACCACCATCAACATTGCTGTTGCCACCTCATCGCCATAGCTAGCACCACCACCAACTACAAACACCACCCAAAATCACAACACAACCACCGCAAAATCGAGATTCAAATTAAGAGGGCTTCGATCTTTAAAAACTAAAATTGTCCAATAACAACCTCACATTCCAAATATATAAGTTTTCAGACAAGTGGCTGTTGATGATGGCTGCTATTGCGTTGCATCAAGATCTTGGGAGTAGAGGCATTAAAGATATGACTGTTGATGCGGCCACTACCTCGTCTTAGTCTAGAACACAAAGTTGGGCTTGGAGATTGAAGTGGCATTGAACTTCAAGAAAACGATCGAAGATCTACTTTTCCTTTGTTTACAAACCGATTTGGGCCCTGACATTAACACACATTGATTGAGAATTTGCTTCTACGTGAAGATTAACACGCAAATTATCACACACTAGTCGGAGAAGATTTGTTTCTCCGTCATATCGAAGATTAGCCTCTCAATCACTTAAGTCAATGCGCGTAGCGGCATCGAGCGGCACTCACAGTGGCTTGTTGCTCTCAAAGTGATGCCATCGCGTCAACAACATAGTAAGCAGCTAAGTGTCGCTCCGACGGTTCCTTTAATGATAGTGTGTAGTAAATGGAAGAAGAGAGATATAGAGAGAGAAGGGAGAGGACAAAATAAGTATTTGGGAATGAAATTTGGTGGGATGTATGAAGGTAGGATGGGTATAGATTAATTTAATTTTTATAATATCATTATTAATGTTAAAATGTGGAATTATCACCTGATTTTTGTATAAACAAATCTCAAACATGATTTCAAACTTATAAAGCCCGCCTTCATGTAATTTCTACATAAATAAAGCCCATGCACAAAATTTAGAAATAGACTGCCCTCCATATATAGGAACAATAAAGCTACTTGTACAAAGTTGGGTTACAAAGTGTGTTAGCAAAATTCATAGCATCGATTTGAAATTATTTAAAAATCTATGTTTGAAATGATTGGTGTGGATGTTATTTTGTTAACCAACTTTGTAACCCATCTTTGTAAGTGTAGCATAGTTCATATAGGAATGGTCTGATACAAATTTTTTAAGGACGGCTCACTAAACTTCAAAATGAGCCCCGGCTTCACCCCACAGAGGCCCTAGCCTTAAATATTTACTCATGTTTGACTCCTATGTTTAAAATTTATTTTAATCATATATTATCTTATTAAAATAGTTTTTTTTTTAATGTAGATTTATAATTTCTTTCTAACTTCTAAATATATATTCTTCAAAAAATCACCGTTCACAAAATTATGCTAAAATATCTTTGCTAAATGGGGGTTCATTTCATTTTGCTTATGAAATTTAACTCAAGAGTAAAAATAGAAATCTACTTGAATATCGGATTAAAATTAATCATTGTCCATGACAAATGATAGTTAACTCTAATATATACTATTTTTAGATACTAGTAGATCATCTCTATTTAACTTGACAATCTTCCGTTAATTAGCATAGAATTTTGGATGAGGATTAAAAAAAAATCTTAATTAAAAATAATAAATCACACCAATATACATTAAAGCCCTATTTGGTGATGATTAAAATTAATATTTTAATAAATTTTAATAAAAATTGATGAAATGTATGGCTGAAATTACATAATACTTTACATACCATTTTATCATTCTTCGAAAATTTAATTTTTATTAATCTTTCGTCCAAGAAATTCCTTCCCCCCCCACCCCCCACCCCTCTTACATCTATATTAATTTTATATACATTCAAGTATCTTGACTACATTATTTTTTTAAGCATTGACAACACTATCAACATTACAATTTTTAATTCCATTTTTACACAAAATTGTATAATTTTATTTATTTCCCCTCTTTAAAGTTTTCTCATAAAAAAGAATATCAAAAACAGAAAAAAAAATATGAATACTATAAAATTTGTTAAATTGCACAACGCTACGAAGCTATAACCTCAACTTAAAATTAAATTGAAATTCATGCAAACTATAAATCATATAATTTATTTTTTATTTTTATTTTTTTTCAATTATCATTGAATATAACTTATTTATTGGACGATGACAACTAATAATCTTCATTTGTCCGTTTGATAACGTTGTAAGAAATCAAATGAAGTTTTTGCTATATGTTCCAACACTATTAATTTAATAAAATTTATTTTGTGTTTATTAAAGATGTATTTAAAGAATATGAAGATCATAATTTTTTTGTAAAGCATGTAATTTAATACTGATTTATTATTATTAATTAAGGGTGTTTCTTTCTGTTTAGCAATTTACAATCTCATGATTTTAGATATTTCTATTTTCATTGCAAAATACGTTTTTTGTAACCAATAACAAAAATATAGTCTGCGTTATATCGTATGGAAATTGATATACCCAAAATGCAGTTAATTTTGTAAATTTCCCTTCTTTTATTTAATATATGTTGTAAATGATAAGTTTATTATTGAATGACAATTGTAACACAATAGCTTAGTTATCATTATTATTATTTTTATATAATTCAAGGTCTTCTTTTGAAAATAAGGGGTCCAATTGCCACTCGTTCTCACCTATCTTCCAATTCTCGCTCTTGCCGTCATTATCCACTTGCGTCTATTACCACCAACTGCTGCCTCCACCCGCCGTTAGAGTTGATCTGATTTTATCCTTTTCCATCTATCGTCGAAACCAGACCAAAGCAACACCAAGCGTCGACAAATTGAATGGCCCAAAAACACCTACACAATGTCCTCCTAGAAAAAAAAGAGGGAAAAGTTTTCATTTCAGGTAATTCTTCTTCCTCATCACAATATATATACGTGTAAGTGGATATACAGACATATATACATACACGTATGTGTAATAAATGCTCGTGTTGTGATTTGGATTCTGAAATAGTAGATCTTGATGTGGGATGAAGTTTCTGTATTTGTTAATGGCTTTACCTATTAGAATTTATGCAAAATGTCCATCAATTTTAGATCTTGATGTGGGATGAAGTTTCCGTGTTTGTTAATGGGTTTACCTATTAGAATTTATGCAAAATGTCCATCAATTTTAGATGAAAATGTGAAAAATGTATTGGGGTGATTGATTGTACACATTTTGAGTTGTTTGACCGAAAACGAATGGATTCTAATAAAAGTCATCTGTCACTGTACATTTTTA